TACATATATATATATATATATATATATATACTCGATATCTCTGGAAATTACTTGTACCTGAAGATGACAAAATTTTGTGGAAATGTCGTGCATTTATAATAAAGTTTTTCATTGCCCAGTCAAGCCGTCTCAAAACTTTTATTTTTTAAAAGGTGGGTTCCTCGTTATCAAGACGTTTTATAAGTACCTAATTTGTTTAAGATGACTAAAATTACTAGCATCGTAAAAGAGATCCATCAATAAAAAGGAAAATATTCAACCAATAAATATATCATTTGGGCCATTCTAATATCTGTATCAATTATTTAGCTCGTAATTTTTCATTTTATAATGATATTGGTTGCTTACTGATTTTATTAAACAATCGATTAATTTGTTTGTTTTGTTTTTTCTAGGGTAGAGGTTAGTCTTCTTTGAAAGCAACAGGGGATCGTTAAACTTTGATGTCATTGATGTTGCTATGACTATGAAGAAACTCTATGCTAGTATGAATATAAGATAAACGTCACAAGACATTACTATCTGTTTGGTAAGTTTTAGTTTTACCCTGCACGCTACGGTTTAAGGTAAGATGATGTACTGATCAGTCTTTTTATATGTTACTTTTATTAAAAGATGTTAAACCTTATATTATTTTATGTTCTTTGATTTCCATCCACTTTCATGTTAAGTTTTTAAGACACTAAATTATTATCAGTGAATATAATTTAAAAGTTGCAAGTAAAAACTAAAATTTTTAACAGAAGTATTAAATTCTTTATTCTGTTGTTTTTTATTAAAATTTAAAGACTATCTTGATATTTATCATAAACTTTATGAAACTCTTCTGTTTTAGCTTTTAAAATGGAAGTTTTATGTGTAAACTAATACAGAAAAAGTTAATGCATTATCCAGTTGATTTTTAAATTTTAGTTAAGTTTGACATTTAGTGATATATTCATTATATAGGTAGTTCGCTTTGATGAGAAAATAATAGCTAATATTAATAATAATATTGTATTACTATTAGTACATATCAACACAAAATTTCACTTTTCACTCTTAGTCTTACCTGGATCGGTTTCTATGACTAGCGTCCAACATTCCTAATATTTATTCAGGCTGTGGGAAAAGCTGGAACTTGGAACGCTAAAGCTGAACAGAGTTATTCAGTTATTGACAGTTCTATCTTTAGCACTAACCAAAAGGATATTAGTAAAATTACAGTACACACTGTTTAGTTCAGGTATGAAACATTTGAAACGAGATAACTGACTTTTATCAGCAAATTGTGTAAATTAACGTTACTATGTTCCCACTCCTAGGCTGCTCTCTCTGTTTATATTATTACCTACAGCAAATTTATGGCACTATGCAAATATTCCAGTTTTGTAGAAATGTTAAAAGACAAAATAAAGCAATTTGTTATAGTTTCATGGATTGGATTGGATGTTGAATTACCCTCCCTAGATAATTTAAAAGAATCTGCCAGCAAAACAACTATGTTGCAACATTGATTACTGAGTGGGACATTATTTTTGGTGAAAATACTCTGGAATTTTGAATAGACTTCAACTTTCATTCAAGATTACTATAAAGTATAAGTATAAGGACACAAAATGAGGTAGGAAACCAGCTGGTTTTTATAAAACAATTAAAAGAAGAACAAACAGAAAGAGATAATGTAGTTAAAGAAGAAAGAGACAGAAAGTTAAAAGAAGATCAGGAAGAATGGGACAGAAAATTAAAAAAATACCAGGAAAAACGTAATAGATATTTAACAGAGGAACTAAAAGAAGTAGACCTTCTGTTGAAAGAAAAATTAAAATAGAAATAAATTTGACAATATCAATGATTCTGTAGAAGACATACAAGGGGATTATAACAACAAATTTGAAGAAATGCAGAAGAACATAAAAGAAGCACAGAAAGGCTGTGAAGATAAATTGAAGATGTAAAAAAAAAATATGAATGAAGTAAAAAAGACATCAACAAGGTAGAAAAGATCATCATTGAGGTTGAAAAGAACATCAGTAACAGAATGAAACATCTAGAAAAGGAGTTGTTAAATGCCAAGATTAAACCATCCACACACCCCTTTCTACATTGGCTCAGGATTTCCAGCCTGAAATTCCATATGGCACAAAATGTGGAATAGGACTACATATTACCTATTACCTATACTGCTGTGCCATCTGTTACTAGAGGACCTTCCTGGACTATTCCATCCATGAAACTACCAAAATCAGTTCCATAATTTAGCTGGTCAGTTTGACATTGGCCAGTGAAGAAACCAAATGATTATGATGGGAAAGTACCAAGGACGTTATACCAGGCTCACTTTGACATCATTTCCAAGGTAAATGGATAGAATAGTGAACAAAGTCATCCATCTTGCTGCTCATTGAAAAGAACCAGCTTTATTAACATTAAGTAACCTTCTAGTTGAGTCATAGCAACTCTCAAACATAGGTAGCCATCTTATCCATCAGTTTTGGAGTGTCACACTAGAAAGAAGTATTCAGAACAAAGTTCTGGAATAAGATATAGAGGAAAGAAAGACTTGCCCAATTATCTTACCTGTACACTTCTCATAAAATTATGGATTTATTAACATGTGACAAATTTATGGACATTATAACAGACAAGTATATTAGGATCAGGCAGAAGAAAAGTAGATTTACATATTTAAAGGATGCTCTACAGTTGGTGATGGAACTATAATCCATTAAGGTTGCAGATGAAGTAATAAGGACATCATCTAGAACAGTGTTTCTCAGCCGGGTTTGCCAGATGACCTCTGCATCTGGGCTTTGGTTGTTGTGACCCCCCATTTTCTCTACAAGGATGAAAAAATTCTTGGTGGAGTTTGTCATAGTTCATAACAAAAGTGATATGTGCACCTCGAGGACTAAAAAATACAGACTCAGTGCAAACAGCTTATGACCCTCCAGGAAACCATTTGAGAAACACTGATCTAGAAATTAATGGAATAACAGATCCTGCAGTATTGAAACATCAACTCTCCCTAACAATAGTCTAGAAGAATTGAAAGAATCAAAAAGATAACAGGTGTTTCAAGTTTAACTTGAAGGGAAAATATTGCCAGAAACTGCAAAAATATGCCTGTAAGGAATAAGATCTTTCAGAGGATACCAGAAAGAGGTAACTTTTATAATTGTGAGAAACCTGGCCATTACAGCCAAGACTGTAAGGAATCAAGAGCTGTTATCAAGCCAAGGAGACAGATCCTAACCAGGTGAATGGAACAACACAGAGCTAATGAGGCATCAATAAAACAGGAAATAGTTGGATTTATGAAGTGAAGCTCACTTGGAAATACTCCATCTACCACAAATGAGAAAACATGTTCATTATTTGAGGGAAATCATCTGTGAGTCTGTTGGCTTATTGATGGAAGATCGTGTAGTTACTGATTGACACTGGTTCTACAGCCACAGTTGTTCATCTCAGTTTGTTAATGAAAAGTGGAAAATTGTCTTCAGAGATGAAGAAAGAAGAGGGATTGATGCAAACAACAGTTCCAATAAAAGGGAAGTTGAAAATTATTTCTGTTGTAGAAAGTTTATCTGTGCCTCATAATGTGTGGGTAATTGAGGAAGGGTGTATTTTGGGATGCGAGGCTAGACTAGCTTCAGATAGCTTCACAGTCTATGACCAGGAAATACTTGTGCACTACATGCCAATTACTAAACTGGAAGTTGAATGTTTAGTAGAAACAGAGACAGTGGTAATTGTACTATAAAGAAGTGAGACACTCATATCAAGAGGTAATAGCAATGGTTCTTCATCTAATGACTAGGGAAGAGTGGAACCAATTACTTCCAACATGTCATGAGAGATTAGCAGTTGAAAAAGCTCTACTATATGTGAAGAATAAAAGTGTTGTATGTGACTTTACTCAGGAAAGACTTAAATTAGCTTTTGATAAAGTGAAAAGTAGCTATGCTGTAAATGCTGATAAGACTGGATTCCATAGAGGTGACATGGTATGGCTATATAATCCCTGTTGCAAGAAAGGATGAGCCCAAAAATTAAGTAGGAGCTGGGAGGGGGGCCATATGTTGTACTGAAAAGAATCAATTACATAGTTTGCCAAATTCAAAAAGATGGGTTATTCAAGCCAGAGGTCTTCCCTTGTGATCATCTTTGAAAGTACATCAATTTAAGAATGACCAACTGGATAACTCATTGTCAGTAGAATCTCAACTGGCTGAGGAGCCCAAACTTTCTGTTGAGACTACTTGCAGAGGATCATAAAAGCTAGAAGTA